TCCACATATTTTGGGTAAATATTTTGTAAAAAAAATAACATGAAGGAGTTCTTCAATAGAAATGATTTGCATGAAAATCTTCTAATTACTGTGTTGAATATAAAACACCCACCATATCTTAGTTTTCTTACTTGTGCATGTGCTGATTGCACATTTTCCACTATACTCATAATCCATAGTTCAAAGTGAAATACATCTTATATACATTACAAGAGTATAAGACTCACGTTACATCTGTAAGTTTACCTGCATCTCTTTTATTTTTTGCATCCTGTCCATGTAAAATTTGACACAGAGCATCATTTAGATGCCAATTTTGATGCAGAAGCTGCTTCCAGATGTCCTTTTCAAATAAGACGTACATCAAAAGCATCAATTTTCGGATGCAACCAGCCCTATGTGATTCTAGTGTCAAGGCACATTCATGTTTTAGGCATGGAGATATGATGCAGGCCTGTCTGTTGATGCCAGATCTATATAAGATGACCATTGACCAGCTATGGTTTCATTTGTGATTTCCTAGAGTGCTTTCCTTGTTCAGTGTGTTCTCTGGTATACTGAGCTGCTTGTTTGCCTAACCTGGTCTATGTACTCTTAGACCCATCCTGGCATTATGGTTTTGTGAATTTCTAGATTCCCTGACCTTGGCTCTTTTCTTGACTTTGTTATTTTTACCTACTACAGTCATTGCATTAAGCCCGGCCACACTAATGACTGGTAATATGCTGCTGTCCTTTTTATACTATTAGGATAGCATAGGTTCAAGTTCTGCCTGTTGGATATCCTTCACCTTGACAGTATGCAAAATGCAATAACCACTGATGCAATTGTTAGCACGTGGTCTGCAGTCTGTCAAACAGAGGTTACCTCTTCTTCCAAGAAATTCTGATGAAATGTCTATTGTGCTTCATACAGAAAAGAGTATTTGTACACAATGTGAGATTAAAAAGCATTTCAACAGGGGCAGGGCCTGAGCAATATGGCGGCTAGACGCATTTCACTTGAGCTCCAAGTTTGTACTTCCCCTTGAGCCATCTAATCGACTGATATCATCCCCAAACGTTCTTCTGCCGAGACTTACCTAACCCTGACACCGGCCAGGGCCCTTTGGTGTACTTCCGTCTCCTGTAATCCCCGGTGGTGCAGGGAGGCCTAGTGTTCACGTTGGTCTGATGAGGCGGCCGATTGCTGAGTCTCTGTGGGTTATAGTGCAGGCCTGTTTCCCCCCCTCCTCTGGACTGGCAGGGGATATTCCAGTCCACACCTCGGAGGCCCTACCCCTACGACATCAAGCTAGGGAGATGCCGGGCAAGTCTGAAGGAGCCTAACCTAAAATGTCGGATGCGATGTGCCCCTTTATGTCTCGGCTAGACAATCTCTTTGCTAACTTTTGGCTGAAGCTGATTCAATTACAGCAGTACCTTGCATGGCAGGAGTCACAGGTCTCACACCGGAGACCACCAGCGCACAGCATGGGTTCCGGCCCCATGATGGGCACGAAGAAGGCGGAGGGGAGTGTTTCACTGCAAGATGGCAAGAGAAAGGCGTCATATACTATGCACGTTATATCCTTGCCCTGACTGGACCCGAGCGGAGCACCAACGACCTGCCGGACACGGCATGAAAACAGCCGAGTGCAGCTATCCTGGATCACGCAGTACGCAGTTGCACAGTTCTGGCTTCCCACAAGCTCGGAGTGCAGAGGGTTGGTCCATCCGGATCCTGTAGGACTTATGCTATGACAACCACTGCTCTCAGGTGCCCCCATGCTTGTTGAAAAGTCTACCACGCAGGGACTTTGCTTTACCTCTGCAGGGCATCGGCTTAATGGAGACTGGGACTTTATCTCTGGCATAGTGCCTGTCCACCACGTATAATTCTAGCACCTGCTGAGTATTTGTTTTGTTTCTTTTCATTAACAACAATTCATGTTCTTACCAACTACACTTATTGTCAATACATATGTGGGGCAGGGGTGGCCATGCCATATAATTACTAGCTGCCCTTTGACTAATTAGGCACTGGAGATGAGTGAGCTTAATGTGCTTTTTGATGAGTGAACTGGCATTACTCATACTGCCATATTACTGCTCTCAAGTTATCATCACGCAGTGTTATACCGCTTGTATTTTATTTAATTTTACATTAATTACTCATGCATGACCCAGGTAGATCTTATGAGAATCCCTAGAATTTCATCTTATTTTTGCTACTCTACCAATAGAAAACATGTTGTTGATGAAAAGCCACTCAGATCTACATATAGTATGACTAGCTCATGCCATGTATTTTGTTTATAATTATCTCTTTCTGTTAAATATGTGCCATTGTCTCCATGCTATACTGATGTTTTCCTCTGTTTTGATATTCTCATGCTTGTGTTTGCTGTTATTGCATCACAAGCCTCATAATGCGCACAACAACAAAAAAAGAAAAAAAAAAGCGTTTCAACAATAATGTGTCTTATTGAATAGATGCTGCTTCCTCATGTTATTTATTTAAGAAAATCTGCAACTACACCATCTTATCCAATGCATTGTCACGTTAGACTTGTACATGGCTCTATTTTTCAGTCCTTCCAAACAAAATTTTCTGAATTTAAAATTTTGTCCGGGACCTCGAATGTTCAACATTGTGCTGGCATGTTTTGCCTGAAATTCAGTCCTAAAAACAGATTTGGCTACACCAGACACCTCATCAGTGCAAGGGTTAGTCATGGGGCAGCTGACCAGTGCTTGCTAGCCAGCAGCCATATTAAATAGTTATTACAGGGTCCACCTCTGAATTTCCCTTTTTATTTAGGGAGCCCCATAAGCAAATGCATTGAAGAGCATAATATGAGAATACTGAGAACGAGTAAAAACTTAGTAACATGCTCTACATATAGTCTCAAAAAATGTTTTGTGTTCATTTGTGCCATTTCAGAGAGGACAATTGTATATTGGGTCACACTTGTGCTGATTTTCATGTACTACAGTCACCTATTCCTCTCATATTATGGTATCCATAAAGGTAGTTTTGTAAAAAAGTATAATTAATTAGAACATTGTTTTGAAAGTATGTAGATATCTATTATTTGGCAAATTAATATACAGTAATTGCTTGCGAAACACTTAAGTAGAGTTTGAAGCCTCATTACATATTCAGTAAAGTGCCTGTAGTGGAAACATGCACTAAAACAAAGATTACAACGTTTCAAATGTCACTTATTGTGTGCTTGTCAAATATACAAGAAATAGTACCCTGGAAACTTCTGCTCTAGAAAATAGAGAGGGCTGAAATGTCTTAATGCGATTCACGTCAAGACAATTCAGCAATTGAATGCAGATTTAAAACCTATGACAATTTTCATAATTGAATGTAAGTTTAAAGGTATTAAAAGCAACAAATAGAAAATCCTATAATTGAGCTTCTTGGTTGGTGAAGATTATGATTAAATTACTTAATTTTTGATTGCCACTAGCAATTATTAAATAGAAAGGGAACAATAAATGGATAGAACATTTAGATGGTTCAACAAACGTTAGAGCAACATCAAACAACAAACATCTTATTCATGGTGGTAAAATAAAATTGTGAAAATAATCTTTGCAATTGACAAAAAATAATATTTGTACTCTGAGTAATTTAGCCATCAACAGAAAGAAAGACCAGTGTGTTAGTGGTGATAATTTTTTTAAAATTAGTAGTGGTGGCTTTTTATTTTATTACATAAAACAAAAACCGGAAAATACAGATTATGGTAATTCAATTTTAATGCCACCATTATATGTTATTTTTTTTTTTTAATAAAATGCACATTGTTTATATATCCCTTTAGTTATCTCTATGAATTCTGTCAATTATAGAAGCAATGTAAATAAATTGTAGTCAGCAACAGCAATTTCATAGTTTTAGAATAGTCATATATAAATATATTTTATAACTAGATACAATGTACAGGGAAATAAAATTAAAACCGTAATCAAAAATAATTTTGATATTCTTAAAAATGATCCGATTTTAGACCAAACACCTGTATTATTATTTATTCAAAAGTACCAACTCTACTTCTCTAGCTCCTACTGTAAAAAGTAAAATCAAGAGGACGTCACATAGGACTGGAAGTTATGTTCGAGTTAGAGTGTTGTTCTAACTATCCAGATAAGAGCAATAAACAAGATAGATTAAAAAGTAATATCACTAAAAATGTTCACACAATTGAAACTCATGTGAATTGTAACACAGCAGGAGTGATCTATCTGCTTGGATGCCGTGTGGCAATCAATATGTAGGCTGTATAAAAAGACCTTTTAAAAAAGATCAGAAGAGCATATCTTGAATATTAGAAAAGGCTCAATCTCCCATAATGTATCTAAAAATTTAATTTATTTCATGGATTGAGTCCAATTTTTTTTAAATGTACAATTATGGAAAAGGTGACAATTTATAGAGAATAAGACAAAACAGAAGCAAAATTGAGTTATGAACTAGATACTTTGGAAACTGTGGGTTTGAATTTTGCTTTAGTAAAGGGTTAGAATATTCAAGTATTTATTGTGAGATTTACTTACATTATGTGGCATGGGCCTGCCACAATGACGATTAACCCCCCTTTTGGTAGGGTGTTATCTTAGCAATATAATGCCTGCTCTTGTGAGAGTCCAAGGAGGGAAATCTTTCCTCCTTGGACTCTCTGCAGCGCAGGGTTAAATATGGCCCTGGAATGAGATACCTGTGATAGGGAGAGGTGCAAAGCCAACTAAATGTACATATGAAACCAAGAAGGGCTGCACTTATCTGAACATGCATTCATTATATGGGTGTTGCTGGGACACTTAATACAACATGCAAGATCTAGGGCACTCACTCACTAGACACCAACTTCAAAGATCATAAAATGTAATAGTTTTTTTTGTTTTTTTTTAAACACCCACTTGCCAAAATAAGGTGGATTTAGTTATAGTATATGGTCATACATTGCATAAACCTGTCACAACGCCAATGTACTCCAGCCTTGGCAAGTCCTATATTTACAACGTCATGCCTGCTTTTATGAGAATATATATATATATATATATATATATATATATATATATTCTCATAAAAGCAGGCATGACGTTGTAAATATAGGACTATAGATATAGATATAGATATATATATATATATACACACACACACTATATGGACTAAAGTATCAGAACACCTGGCCATTACAGCAACATAGACTTTTATGATGCCACATTCTAAATATGTAGATATAAATATGGTATGAGGCATTCCACAAGCTTCTGAAGTGTTTCTGTGGGAATTTGTGCCCATTCATCTAGTAGAGAATTTGTGAGGTCAGACACTGATGTTGGACGAGAAGGCCAAATATCTTGGTATGCATTAAGATTTCCCTTCAATGGAAGTAAGAGACCATTGTAAATGCAGACTGCATGGCTAGGTGCTTAATTTTATCCACCTGTGGCAATGGGTCTGATTGAAACAGCTAAATTAAATAAGTAAAGGTATGCCCTGATACTTTTGTATATGTAAAGGCTGTTAAGCCTGTAGTTATGGGTGTGTGTGTGGTTACATACATATCCGTACCTGCATAGGGGAGTGATGTCCCTGTATTACACGTTGTTTAGTGACATTGCCATAGTAACAAGTGGCAACTACTGATCCTTACTCAGAGTCTCGGTGTACAGCATGGATCCACAGCTGCAGGTTGCATGAGTAGGGAAAGTGATTTGCAGTCATATTTTCCTCAGCATTCTTACAATGTGTCTCAGGGTTATTGTTAATTGGGCAAGATTTGGTTAATTCTGAGAGTGTGCGCTGAAAAGCACTTTGAGTCCCACTGGGAGAAAGGAGCTATATAAATAGTAGTTATTATTATTATCACTTAACCATGCTACATGTGAGACATTGGATTCACTACTTCATTTTGCTCAAGTGGGGGTCTAGAGCAATGTGAGTACATCAAAAGTCCCCACAAAGCTCAGAGCAAGTGTTTCTGTAAACACACCTACAAGAGACAGTCTGTTTATGCTTTTTATTTTCCTATCAATGCAACACTGCATCCACAGTGTCTTGCACAGATACAGAGTTGGCATAACATTGCTTTACATAACGTATACTTCCCCTCTCTGATCATACGTCCCCTGCCCTTCTTTACATCTCCTAGGGGGGAGGGCATATCATGGCTTGCTGTGTTTTAAACCTATTGAAATTAACTTAAATGGCACACTTTTGACTATAAAGCATGATCTTGCTTTGGAGAGCGTGCGCACTATAGGATTTCCCCGAAGCTCTGGATTCAGCGCAGTGTTTCCGTGCAGGGAGAGTGAGTTGTGGGAGCGCGAGGCAGGACCTGACACAAGGGCAGGAGAACAGAGCATAACCAGGTAAGCCTAGTCAAAATAACAGCAAAACTAGATCATGACAAAATATCACCAAGGATACAGGAACCACGAAAGGGTCCAGAGCAGCCAGATAGCCCTCCTTAAATAGAAATGTCCTGTACCTGATTGGCTCTTGTTTGCTGGGAGCAATCAAGTCAGAAAGGGACACCTGTGATATGCACAGATGCCTTACAAAAACAAACAGTCAGAAATTAACCCCTTAAAACCGGAGGGCGTACTATTATGCCCTATTCTAAGCGGCCCTAAATGCCGCAGGGCGTAGTAGTACGCCCTCCGTTTTTTCTTACTTACCCGGCGATCGCAGTTGGGGAGACTCACCTGGGATCCCAGGGAGTCCCCCGCGGCGGATCCTGCCTCCTCTGGTCCCCCCGGCCATATGAGAGTGAGGTCCTTGCGAGGACCTCGCAATCACATGGCCGGGTTAGCTGGCTGCTTCATTGCCAGCAGGGGGACTGCCTGTAATGACAGTTAGTCCCCCTGCTGGCTGGAAATCAAATAAAAGAAAGTTAATCAGTGTAAAATAAAAATAATTATATACTTAGATCATATATATTATATTTATAATATACACATATACATACACACACATACACTGTCTAGGTGTATTTTACTATTAATATATATATATATATATAATTATATATATATATTAATATCAAATTACACGTAGACTGATACTGATTAAATATATATATAATTATTGTTATATATATATATATATATATTTATATATAATATAAAAAAATGTAAATACGTTAAAAAAATGTAAATTAAAAAAATTTATTAAAAATAAATAATTAAATATATAGATGTTATTTCGTTCTAACTGTATTGTGATATTAATATATATATTTATATCAAAATACACTTAGAACAAAATATATATATATATATATCTATATTCATAAATATATACGTATATATCACTATATATACCTATATATAAATAAAAATATTTAAAAAAAATTATATATATACATATATATATACATATATATACACATACATATATATTTATGTAATATTTTTACATAATTAGGTATTTTAATTAATTACAATCATCGGGACCTGCCTGAAAACCCATGCCGAAAGTATAGGGAATTTAATTTGCTAGCACTATAGTTAACCCTATAACTTTCCAAGACACCATAAAACCTGTACATGGGGGGTACTGTTTTAACCGGGAGACTTCTCTGAACCCAAATATTAGTGTTTCAAAACAGTAAAATGTATTACAAAGATGATATTGCCAGTAAAAGTGATTTTATTTTGCATTTTTCACACACAAACAGCACTTACACTGATGATATTATTGCTGTGATACTTTTTACTGTTTTGAAACACAAATATTTGTGTTTGAATCGTTCTGTCAACACAGTCACAACCACCCATTGCCAGCTGACAATGAACACTGCACCATTATTCTGCTGCTGGATAACTTATTAAGTGACAGAATAGGGAGGAGCTTCATTAGCAAATCACTCACAACATTAAAAAAAAACACGGGTGTAGTGCAGATGGTGGGACATTTTTAACCTCGTAGGGACGGAGGCAATTGTACATGTTCTAACCAAAATAAAACCTGGAATTTGCACTTTAATTTTGTTCAAACATATTTTACCTCTTTCGTATTAAGTGCATCCACACTTATTATACATCATTTTGTTTACGAGAAACAGGTCTTTCATTTCATATCAAATATTCATATATGAAACAAAATGTAAAATGAATAAAATGTAAAAAAGTTTGAGAAATTAAGAAATTTTATTTTCAAGTTCTGCATGACATTTTTACTGTGAATGTCATAATACTGTTAACTTTTGATGCAATAAAATACACATATTTGTATTCAGCTATGTCTCATGAGTACAACAGTCCTCCCATGTACAGGTTTTATAGTGTCTTGGAAAGTTACAGGGTTAAATATAGGGCTTTCCCCATTTACCATTTTTACATATTGAAATTTGCCAGATTGGTTTTCTTTTGAGACTGTATGGCCCAGGAATGAAAATTACGCCCATCATGGCATATAATTTAAAAACCCTGGGTATTCAAAATGCCCAGTCTTTTTTTTTAGTAGCCACTTAGTCACAAATGCTGGCCAAAGTTAGCATTCATATTTGTTTTTTTGCATTTTTTTTTAAACAAAAACTGCAATGATATCATCATTGTGATACATTTTATGGTTTTGAAAAATTACTATTTGTGTTCGGTGAAGTCTCCCGAGTAAAACAGTACCCCTCACGTACAGGTTTTTTGGAGTTTTGTAAAGTTACAGAATTTGCAAATTAAATTCTCTGTATGTGTTGTAAGACAGGCCCCTCAAATTGTAATTAGTAAATTCACATTATTATGTTAAAATATTACATAAATATACATGTAGAATTTAATTATTTGTTTTTTCATTATTTCAGCTGCAGAGGGCCTGTCTGACAGCCCAGACAGTCCCCCTGCAGGCAGCTATTGGGACAATGTGATCGCTTTGTCAGAGTGATCACATGGCCCATAGGTGCCTTATTTGCCAGGGGGGGCTGCATTGACTGTGAGACAGCCTCCCAGAAGCTGATCACGGCAGAGGTGAGTAACTGCAGGGTCTAAGAAATCCGTTATTGCATTCCATGCAGCTGCAATGGCTTTTAAGCCCATTAATATGGGGATGGCATGGAGTGCCGTAATGTCGGGAAGGGGTTAAAGAGCACTTGAAACAGAGGCATGTTGGACCGTATGTCTCAGGAGCAGGAAGGGGAGTAATGTGGCAGGAGGTCCATCAGTTCAGTATTTTTTTTTAAAAAAATAAGAGCTGTTGTTGTCTGTCTCAGGGATTATTAACAGCACCTAAAAGTGCTCCCCCTTAACCCCTCAAGGAGACATAATGAAAATTTTTCCACATAGTAGTCTTTTATTTCTGCAGCTGTGTCCTTAAGTGCTGCCTGGATTCAGTGGACCCATCTGAACCCCTTGAGGACTGGCTCTATGTCTATGAAAATAATCCAATTTTGTAATATATAATCAGAAAAAAACTACACAATTCCCCACTTATATCCTGTTCCAAATTATAATGCAAATTATTATGCAAATGATATTTTTCTCATTTACCTAAATAATTGATGTAAATAACAGTCAGCATAATTCTCATGTTATCAACTATTAAGAGTACAATTCAAATTTTATTGAACAAACCTCCTAATGATAAGAGTATTTTTTTTAAACATAAAAAACTTACAATGCACTGTTCCAAATGATTACACACAGTAAGTTTCAGAACACTTTATAAGTTGTAAAGAACTGAAAATTGTCATTTGTTGTGTTTGCAGCATATTTACTGAAATGAAAAGCTATTTCAATCAAACTTATAACAACATATTAACTTTTTAAACATTTTAACAGGTCACGTTAAATTTTAACATAGGACCCCTTATTTGACAGCAGCTTCACAAGTCTTGTGAGTTTTTGGACAGTTCCTGCTTGAATTTGTTTGCAAGATGTCAGAATAGCCTCCCAGAGCTGCTGTTTGGATGTAAACTGCCTCCCACCCTCATAGATATTTTGCTTGAGAAAGCTCCAAAGGTTCTCAATAGGATTGAGGTCAGGGGAGGATGGAGGCCATCCTTTTATCCCCATAGCAGCCATTGATGCAGATGTATTCTTTGCAGCATGAGATGGTGCATTGTCATGCATGAAGATGATTTTATTACGGAAAGTAGTCAGAAACTCCACATACTTTGC